GAGAGAGAGAGAGAAAAGAAAGAAAAGGAAGAAAATCAAGAAGACATAGCGGCGAATAGATCGGCTTCCTTTGAGCGTCTCGTTTTTATTCAGAGAGCGACTCCTGTCGATGATCGAGCTTTTAATAATAAATGTTGCACGCTGTATATGTGTCGAACAGGTAGAAAAAAAAAAAAAGAAAAAAAAAAAAAAGAAAAAAAAAATAAGGCGAGGAATCAGATGCGGGTAAAATAACACAAAGAGTGAGTATATATATATAATCATGTATGTAGTGAGAACAATCGAACGATTTCTGAAAAGGATTTAATTAAAGGAACAAAGAATTCAGTACAAGCAATGAATGCGTCGAACATTGCACTGAAACAATTCGATCTCCGGGTTAATGTGTGAATTTACAGTTCAGTGTCTACTTACATTAGTAAAATTGTCACAGCTTCTAGAACAACCGAAGTTCACGAAACTCGCTTCCATTCTCACGCTATCTTACTTTCTCTCCCACTCTCTCACTCTCTTTTTCTTCTTTTTCTTCTTTTTCTTCTTCTTCTTCTTCTTCTTCTTCTTCTTCATTATCGACGATCGACATTCGTAAGGCTCGTAATTCGTTATACTTAAACGATCTATTCTTTTTATTAAACGCCATTTTCACTCCTTCCTAATCGTGCAATTCAATCGTTTAACTGTACTTTACACCAACCAACTTTCGCTTAAGTACATTTACTTTTATGTACATATTTATTCTCTCGATAATAATCAACTTGAACATTTGAATATCACTAACGAAGCAAGTTTTTCTTAATCAATCTTCGTCGTTCGAATCATCATTATTACGGAAGCTTCATCGCGATTTTTTATTTTTTTATTTTTTTTCTTTTTTTCTTTCCCCCAGGATGCTGTACAATAGTTCACAATAATTCGAAACTTAAACGGAATACAAGAGATAACGCTAAGGGATTAAAACAGTTTGTTTGAACTGTTGCATCGATGAAATGTACGGCGTACAATTTCCCCCTTTTGCAAAACTTCGGATTTACGGATTTAAGCAGCTTTTTTATTCTGAATCTTATAAAAATATCGTTATAAATAATTCCTCCACTGCTCGTTCACTTCCACAAGCGAGAACGACGATAAACAATTACCCATTATTATCGACCATGTACAAAAAAACGCTCGAGTCATTCCGTTGTGATTCCGTTGTTGGACTTAACTTAATTAGCGGAAACGAGAAGAAAGGAAAAGAAACGTAAAAAAAAAAAAAAAAGAAAGAAAGAAAAGCGCAAATGGAATCAAGCGTAACGTAGTTAAAAAAAATTCGTATGAGACATTCGTAGAAACCGGGTTTCGAAGATGAAAACGTGGAAAAAAAAACCTCGACAAATCTCCTCTCCTAGAGAAAAGACCGATCGATCGAAATTTTTTTCCATCCTACGTTTAATTAATCCCTAAATCCCTTTCCTCCCTTATTATTATTATTATTATTATTATTATTATTAGTTATTATTATTATTATTATTATTATGCTCCAGAAACGCTATGACTTGTCCTTGGCGAGTCTGGTGAGCGGTAGGGGAGGGGGCGGTGGATGATTTCCAGGATGCTTCTTGTGGTGCACCATCAGGCTGCTCCTCTGCGTGAAACTCTGCCCGCATATGTTGCACACGTACGGCCTCTCCCCTGTGTGGGTCAGTTTATGGACCCTGAGCGCGGGCGACCTGGCGAAAGCTTTCGGGCAAAACGGGCACTGATACGGCTTCTCGCCCGTGTGCCTCCGGCAGTGGAGCTTCAACGCATAGTTGGTCGCGAATTTCTGGCCGCATTCCGCGCACAGGAACATCTGCGAGTGGAGATTCAAGTGGCTACGAAGCTCCTGCTCGGTCGCGAAGCTCCTCTTGTTGCACACGTTGCACTGGAACGCCTTGGGCGTGCTCATCTTGATCCCGTGCATCACCCGTTTGTGGGAGACCAGATAGGACCTCTGCGAGTAACCGTTCCCGCAGAACTCGCATATGAACGCCTTGGTCTCGAGATGGCTCGTCTTGTGATCCTCCAGATCGTAGTTGGACATGAAACCCTTGTCGCACTGGTCGCAACGGTAACGGTAATCCCGCTCGTGGACCCGCCTATGGTGCATTCTCAACGAGATCTTGTTGTTGGTCGTGAAGCCGCACACCTCGCACGAGTACTTGATGTCGCGATGGATCCGCCTGTGATTGCATATCTCCGAGGAACGTTTGAAAGCTTTGCCGCAGGTGGCGCATATGTAGGGGCGGGCGTCGCTGTGCTTCACCATGTGACGCTTGTAATCCCTGTGCTTGGCGAATTCCAACTCGCACACGGAGCACGTGTAACGTTTCTCATCCTCGTCGTCCTCGAACCCGTGCCACCTCGTCCCTACTTTTCTCGCTATTGTCGCTCGCCTCTCGCTCGTTGCGTGATTTAATGTCGCGCGATAGGAGGAGGAGTTGGAGGAGGCCTCGGCTCGAGGAGCACCGGCCTCCTCCTCGGCCAATTCGTACAACGCTTCTTGCTCGGGTGGGGATGGAAGCGGTTCTAGTTCTGATTCCAAGACCTCGATGGTCCTCTCACTGCTGGCTTCGGATTTCACGTCCCAATCTACGTTCCCGAGATCTCTGCAATCAACAACGTGACTTTTCAAACATGTTATACGTGTTTCATTTCGTTCGCCGATAACTTCTTCCAGATCTCTACAGACGTTTCGTTCAATGCTCATTGTGTTTTTTTTTTTTTTTGATAATCGTTCTCTTTCCTAACGAGCAATATATATGTGTGATATATATATGTATGTATATATGTGTGTATGTGTGTGAAGGGGAAATTTGCTCGGGAAACGAGCAATCGAGAAAAGGCATGAGAAGTTGTTCGATCGAAGCGAAAAATCGCCACGCACGGATTTGTTCTTTTTTCTTTCTTTTCCCACCAGATTATCGTTCTTTTATTAAACGTATAATAACGAGTATCAATAATTCGTAACTAACATGGAACTTACTAGTAGTAGCTCTCTCGCCACTTTCGTTGCTACTGAAATTACCATTTAATTACATTTTTCGATGGTAATGTTTTAATTAAAAAAAAAAAAAAAAAAAAAAAAAATTTAAACGATTCAGCGAATAACTAATTATATCACTGCGATATGCGTAACGTTTTCACAGATTTTGACAGATTTATATTTATATTTGTAATATAAATATAACGTATGCATACGTATGCATTCAAATATAAACGTTTCGAGTTATACAGACAAAACTGTATAATAATTGTTAATAAGCGTATAATTTGTATAAAATTCTAATTGTATTATTGTTTCTCGTTTGTATCAATTTTTCTTTCTTCTTCTTTTTTTTTTTTTTTTAAGATACAAAGGCGTAAGGAAGTAGCAAGGAATTCTTCTTAGATAAAGAATCGATAAATAATAATATCGAGCACGGATTGTGTGTGTATATATATATATATATATACTTCAGTAACAGCGAAAGTATTAATCGAAACGAAATCGTAGAAATTGTTTGCTGTACAACACATGAATTTTAAATTGATGTTACACAGCTGAAGAGAGCGACTAATCGAGAAAAAATAATAATTGCCTTACGAAGAAACGTTATTGTTCTTAACGCTATTAAAACAATAAAGAATTTCAAAAAGAATCATCGAACATCGTAACAATAAACAAATAATACAATTTCAGTCGCAAATGCAATGCAATTATACACGATTGACAAAAGGTATCGTGGGCTATATGTATAAAAAAAGAAAAAAGAAAAAGAAAAAGAAAAAAAAAAAAAAAGGAAAGAAAAAAATTAAAAAAAGAAAAGAAAAAAAAAAAAAGGAAGAAGAAGATTCATTTGATCGATTTCGTACGGCTTCTTTAATTCTTAATCTTCATCGGTCGAGATTAATCCATGATCCACACACTTCTCTCTCGTTTTCATCGTCGTTTCTTGCACAGTCGCGCGATCATAAAAAACGTTCCTGCAAATGTTCTATCAGCACCACCAGACGCGGTGACCAACGCAGTCTCGATAGAATCAGCACACAACTCGACACTCTCGAGATCCCCTCCTCCTCCTCCTCCTCTCCTCAAAGTTCTAACCCTGGACGACGACGACGAAGAAGGCACTCGCGCTCTCGTGTTTACACGCAGGTCGACTTCTGATGGGCCGTCAGGTTGCCCTGGCACGAGAAACCACGATTGCAGATCTGGCACACGTAGGGCCGTTCTCCCGTGTGACCCCGCCTGTGGATGGTCAACGTCGACCTCTGCGAGAAAGCTTTCGGGCACTGGTCGCATTTATACGGTTTCTCCCCTGTGTGCACCCTTCTGTGCATCCTGAGATTTTCCGAATCGGTGAAACCTTTGCCACAGATGTCGCACACGTACGGTTTCTCCCCTGTGTGGATGCGCCTGTGCTTCTTCAAATGTTCCGCGCTGCTCAGACTCTTGCCGCAGTAATCGCACAGGTACAATTTCGTGGGGTTGTGGCTCTCCTTGTGCCGGAACAAGGATCTCTTGGTGGCGAGAACTCGGCCGCAGATATCGCAAGCCGTGCTCGTCACTTTGTTCGCCTTCATCTCCGGGTGCATGCGTCTGCAATGGGCGGAGAGCTGTCGTCTGAGATAGAAGGCGGTCCCGCACAACTGGCAGGCGAAAGGCTTGTCGCCCGAGTGTATGTTGTAATGCTCCTGCAGATCGATCGCTTTGCGGAAACGTTTGTCGCAGTCGTTGCATTGGAAGGGCAGATCGTTCTTGTCGGTGTGCCGGAGCATGTGGATGCTCAGTGCGGCCAACACCGTGGTCTCGTAGTCGCACTCCTTGCACATGTAGCTTGGGTAGAAGTGGGTCTTCTCGTGCCTGGTCAGGTCGCGGAACAGGCGGAACTTTTTGGGGCAGTGTTTGCAAGTGAGGTCGCCGACCGTGTGCCGCATCAGGTGCTTCTGATAGTTGCTCTTGTGTCTGAACACCTTGTTGCACGTTTTACAGATGAACTCCATCTCGGGCTTCTCTTTCTTCACCTTTATGTTGGAACGGTTGGCAACCGTGGACGCGTTGTTGCTCGCCTTGCGGCCACCGCCGCCTTTCCGCCCGTTGTGCTTCTTCATGTGTTTGCGCAAGTTCACGTACGTTCTGAACACCCTTCCACACTGGTTGCAAGTGTTCTTCCGTTTGCTCTTGTGCTCGATCTCGTGATTGTCGAGTAACGCCTGAGAGGCGAAGAACACGCCGCATATCTTGCAGTGGTAGGCGAGGGGCAGATCCTCCTCGTCGATCTCGTCCGCCACCTCTTGCTTGATGAAGCTTTGCTCCGGGTTCAGCACGGGTGGAAAGGGCGAGTTGTTGGCAACGTCCGTGTCTCCCGTTTTTACAGGCGACGTGGCGTCCACGTCCTTCTTCACCAGCTCGAGCTTCGTCAACATCGCCATCGGGTAATACTCTTCGGAGAAAGGTAGCTGGTTGTACCTGAAATGTAAAAATTCGAAGGGACGGATCAGTATCGGGACGATAACCCTCGTTTGATAAACGCAGCAGTCTTTCCGCGCCCGGAAAGCGGATTTTCTCGAATCGAATACCTGCAAGCGAGCTCAAGAGAATCTTTCCCCTGACCGGGGAAAAATTGGCAAATGATAGGGCGGATAAATTTCTTAGAGATCGACGATCGATGATAAATGAAAAAAATGTGGTATCGGTGCTTCGTAGAAATTATTATTTCTATAACAACACAGTGTTTATCGTTGGTGACGATGTCAAACATGTTCGTTTTATTTAACAAGAGAGTTGTACAGTTGAGAAACGACGATTAAGTAACTTGGAAAAATATGTTGTTCCACAGAAAAAGAAAAAAAGGAAAAAAAACGATTTACAACTTCATTCGGAGATCGGACGATCCTTTTGCTCCCCTCCCAGCTGTAAACTACATTTTTTGTACAAGTAAAATGCTGTAATACTGTAAAAAGAAATATAAACAAGAACGTTATTATATACATCCTTACATATTATTAAAAAAGAGGCGGAACTGTAAAACGAGATTACATTCTCGGGTTAAAGAAACGTATAAAAATATAACTGAAAAAAAAATTTCAGATTATAACTTTGGCACCGTTAAAAAAATTCCTTCGATATAATTATCGAGCCAATTATCGTATGTACATGTACAAAATTACATTCTATCGATCTTTATATATGTGGTAAAAAAATCGAAATAAATTTATCGATCAGGTAGTAAAGTAGCATCTAAAATTACAACCTTCTTCAAAAACTTTGTGTATCCAAATATGAATTCAAAGACTTATTTTCGAAGTCTTCTTTTCTTTTTGTTTGAAAAAAACGTAGCTTTTTATTATATCCACCAATAATATCATAAAAAAAAAAAAAAAAAAAAAAAATAAGAGAAAACCTTCGTTCACTCCGTTTGATTCACCGTGATAGTAGTAGTAATAGTAGTAGTAGTAGTAGTAGCAGCGTTCACTTGCGCGTGCACTTTGTTATGAGCGTTCAAAGACGACCTGGAAACGAACGATTTTGTACAAAACTCGCAATGATACGGCCTTTGGCCCGTGTGATATCGTTTGTGAACGACCAGCGTGGAATGTTGGGTGAACGATTTCCCACACGTGTCGCAACTGTACGGCTTCTCCCCTGTATGAGTCCTTTTGTGAACAACCAAGGTGCTCCTCTTGCGAAAAGCTTTGCCGCAGATGTCGCAGATCAACAGCTTCTCCCCGCTGTGAAGACGGAGATGATCCTGGAGGGATCCCTTGGAGGACACCGATTTGCCGCAGAGATGGCACGTGTGCTTGTTCTCGCCCATATGGGTCTTCACGTGGAACACCAACGAATTCTTGTAGACGAACGTCTTCCCGCAGAACTCGCACTGATGCTTCACAGGTTTGAAGTTCGGGTCGTGAAACTTGAGATGCTTCACCAGGCTGTGATTGTTAGGGAACGACTTGTCGCAATTCTGGCACACGTGCTCCTTGGCACCGTGCTTCACGTTCATGTGACCGTGGAGCTCGGCGTTCGTGAAGAATCCTTTCTTGCAGATCTCGCAGTATCTCGTGTACTTTTCGAAATGGCGCCTCTGATGGATGGTCAGCTGGAACGCTTGGACGAACGCGTGGCCGCACACGTCGCACACGAAGTTCTTCTCCCGGGTGTGGATCCTTCTGTGGACGGTTAGAGTGTTGCTCCTTTTGAACGATTTTCCACAAATGTCGCACTGATACGGTCGAGCGTCGCTGTGCGACACCAGGTGGCCCTCGTACAGGTTCTTCGTCCTGAAAAGTTTCCTGCATATTTGACACTGATAGAACGTCTGCTGCCTCGTCGAAGTCGCCTCTTCTTTCGACGTCCCTTTACACTCTTGCTCGTTCGAAGTTACGCGAGAACGTTCTTCGATATTGGCGTTGAAACGTTCCGAATTTTCGTCGTATTTCCGTCGTGTTTCATTCGTCGATCGGTGGTCCTCTTCTTTTAACATCGAAAATACTATCACTGATTTTTCCGTGATCATATCTTCGAACGATGGTTCGATCCTCGTAATCGATGGCGATCTGCGAAGAAAATGAAAAAAAAAAGTGTCGTCAATAGCGATTCTTATTTTATTCATTTAGATCTAACGACAACTTTCGATTTTTTTTTTTTATTGCGGAAGGTACTTGTTTTCTTTCTTTTTTTTTTTTTTTATTTAACGAATATTTTAGCTTGATTTACATTTGACGAAATATACACTGAACATATGTATATATATACATATGTTATATATATATGTATATATATGTATATATATATATATATATATATATATATATATA